CACGTCTCAATCTACACTGGCCACATTTTGCTCCGTGGCCACATGTGGCCGGTGGCTACTCTGCCATACAGAGCAGCTCAGACCTTTCCTGAAGCTTCTTTCCCAGTGGCTCTCTCGGGATTAGGAGCAGCATGTCATATGTGGCAATAATCTAGTTGCTATCTTTCATTCTCTTGGAAAACACCGTCTGGTTAATGTTTGCTCCACTTCTCAGAATCCCAAGGACATTTTATTCCTCTATTTGAAGAGAAATAGCCAGTTGCAAGTCTCTTGCCGACGGCCACTGAGGGACTGGGGCAGAGGGGGAAAGACGCAGTAACCCCAGGGCCACTTGGGACTTGGGGACTTGGGACAGAGCCTTCCATCAAGGGGCAGCTTTCTCACACAATGCCAGGAGTGAGGTCCACCGTGGCAGAATCCGGGGAGAGGGACAGGACTCCGACGTGCAAACCTCCATCATCAAAGGGAGGACATTCTGCCAACGGAGTCTAACATCGGCTCATCTAAAGAAAAGCACTGAAATGAAGCGTCCCCAGGAGTGGAAGGCGACATGTGTTTTCCTTGTGCCGGGCTGTCGTTCCGTGACACAGGCCGTGGTACTGTACCCTAAGCCCCGAGAGAGCCTAATAAGGGAGGGCCACACCTCAAGCCATTCCATTCTTGTGAAAATCTTTTCTATTTTTAAGAGGCCCAGGAGGAAGAGTCCAGAACCTTCCCTACTAACGGCTTCCTGTAGTCCATCTATCGACTCTCGCCGTTCGGAAATTCTTCTCAAAGCCTCAGATTATTCCCCCTACAGCTAAAGTACAGGTTTGGCCTTTCTTGGCTTGCAAAATGTTCTTCCTAGATGTGTATTCAGATCAGGGGAAAAAAAGAAATAAAGAAAATAATTTGAAAGGAGTAAGGTTACAAGACTTGGGAAGTTCACTTGAGATAGCACATGCCTGACCCCCTCTTATCTGGCTACAACAGCCCCAAGAAGAGGCCAACTCAGAGACAGAGACGGGGGTGGCCTCTCTCATTTTAATGAATGGTTTTTGCGCGCATTTCTAATCCGTGGAAACAATTCTGGAAGACAGAGCAAAAGACACCACCTGCAGGCTGGATCGCAGGGTGGTCTGGCCGTGCAACCCACCGCCCCCACGTCCACGGCCAAGGTTGAAGGTCTGGTCTGCTGCTGGATGCTCGAATCACCTTCCAGCTGTTCTTAAGCGGAATTTGAGGACTCACGTTCGGAGCTCTTAATACATCATAAAGACGTGAGTGTCAGGGCATCGCCTATGGATTTAGGGGTGAGCCTTTCGAGTATTAATTCCTAGCAGATCACCCTTGACCGTCTGCCCTTCCCCCGGCGCGGGTAGTGTGCGATCCACTCGGGGTAATCGGGGATTTGGAAGCACAGATTTCACTAGATAATCTCCAAGCACTTTGCAGAATAAGCACTAAACGTTAGGGTGAGGGCCATTTTCCTCCGCAGCCCAGAGAAGGGAAATGTTACATACACTCAGAGTGGCGGGGTTGACCACACTGCATGAAACGATCGGCGTGGCTGTCTGGCCACCAGCATCCTCCCGGCAGGAAGCAATTCTCCATGAGGGAGTCGGTTCTTAAGGCCAAGACAGTTTGCTCATCCAACACCAACGCCAGGGAAAGTTCTCTGCTTCTGATGATCCGAGGTGTAGCCTTCGATGAGTCTCTTAGCCTCCTAGCAAGTGGCTAAAAGACTAAACTCCTGCCTCTGACACTTCTTATTAATGTCTTCTCATTGCCTTTGTGCAAACCTGTTTTACTTCTCTGGGGGAGATAAATGCTTCCTCCAAACCCACCTCTGCACCCTACAAACCTCATCAGATCAACACAGGAGTCTTTTCTACCCCTCCCCTTCTCCAAATCTCTAGACCAAGAGATCAGGAAAGGCATTGCTTGGTCTAAGGCTTATTATGCATATCCTGAGATTGTTCTTAACAACAGCAATGCTCTCAGCATTTCATATATTTTGGGGACTAAAGTATAAATGAATCTGAAGGTTATCAGTCTACATATATACAGTATCAAAAAGAAGGCAATAACAGGTCAAGGTGCCATTAAAAACCTGGAGATGGGTTCAAATGAGCTAGAGAATAGAAACTCCCTTTAGAAAGGATTCTGCCAAAAGGTTATACGCCAGGGTAACAGAACTTTGTGGAGGAGAAAGAAGAGTCATATATTTAAGTTGGCTTTTGTCCAGTAGTTTGAACCTTGTTTCTCCAAGTTTTGCTGAAGCCCACTCTGCAGCGGAGTTTAGAATCTTTCCCTTTATTAGGGCCGGGCACGGTGGCTCACACCTGTAATCCTAGCACTCTGGGAGGCTGAGGCTGGAGGATTGTGTGAGCTCAAGAGTTTGAGACCAGCCTGAGCAAGAGTGTGACCCTGTCTCTACTAAAAATACAGAAAAAAATTAGCCGGGTGTGGTGGTGGGCGCCTGTAGTCCCAGCTACTGGGGAGGCTGAGGCCGGAGGATTGTTTGAGCCCAGGAGTTTAAGGTTGCAGTGAGCTACAATGATGCTCTAGTCGGGGTGACAAGGTGAGACTCCATCTCAAGAAAACAAAAAAAGAGTCTTTCCTTTTATGAATATATTGTGCTAAGCTAAATCCCCTGGCGAGCAATTGGTACTATGGCAAGAAGCCCTTCGGGGAAGTAATACCAAGGCATTTTAGGGCTCGTTCCTTCTTTCATTCAACAGACCTTTATTTAGTGACACAGTGTGCCAGGCGCTGGGGTGGCACTGGGGACACACGGGGATCGAGACTCAGACCTGGCCCTCATGCTGTTGGAGGCCCCGGGGAATGGCGACAACAGGATAAACAGGCACCGACAGTGAGGTGTGGCCGTGTTGTGAGATGCTCAGGGAGGAGCAGAAGACCCAGGCGTGGGAGGTAGGACGTGGGGCAGACAGGGAGAGCCTTGGCTGGGGGCGGGAAAGTGTCTTCCAAGTTGTAAACTAAAGACTGAATGGAAACGAACCAGGCCCGGGGGCGGGAGTGTGGGAAGGGGAGTGATTTAGGAAGAAGAAATAACACGTGAAGCATGTGGGAAGAGCGTGCCTTTGTCTGGTTTGGCTTAAGCCAACATTTCTTTGATTTTCTAGGGTTGAGGGCGACTGTTGCCAAACTGTGCACATCAGCGATTACATGTATTTTCTGTGACTCAAGTCCATCCCAGCTGTCCCCATTCCTATCTTCTCAAGGCAGGCTGGCCCAGAGAACTGCCATGGGAGGTCTCATTCCCTCTTCCAGAAGGGAGCTTGTCTCTAAGCCCACAAGCTGTGATTTTAAGAAAAGCATATAAAACGCACCAGGTCACTCGCCTATAAATTCCTCACACTGATTCTTAATCTTAGTTAATGATTCCGCTAATTAAAGAGATCTTGCTCAACTTTTTTGCCGTAGTCCCCAAATCCAAACCACAAGTGTGACTTTTAAGGACCATACAGGCTGTGGAATCCAGCCTAACAGGGCCATAATTCAACGTGTAGGAGAACTCTATACACAGGGATAAGAGAATCACAACATTTACTTGTAATAGTGAAAAAATTGTAAAAAAACGAAATAAAAACAAAAAACGTTAACTATACCCAAATGGGGCAATAATTAGATAATAATAGTATATCCATTTCTGGAATTTATGCAGCTATTCACAAAGATGATAATTTACTGTAACTTGGAAAATGCTAGTGAAAGACAACATTAAGTGAAAAACAAAATATATACGGTTCTACATATATTATGATTACAACCACAGAAATATAAATATGAAATATTTATATGAAAATAAAATATAAATATGAAATATTTATGAAAGAAATATAAATATGAAAAATACTAGGGAAAAAACCCTACCCAAATGAGAACAGTAGTTGAATCAGTAAGGTGTAATTATGAGCCTTTTCCTAGTTTCTCTATTTCCTACATTGCATCTCTAAAGCTTTTATCATTTGACTCCTATTGTAAATATTAACTCTTAAAGTCATCAATTTGAATGTTTTCAAATCAAAGCTGCAAGCACAAGGTAACACCAGACGAGCATCTGTACGCGAATCTCCCCACTGAAACAATATCATGTGCCCCGTGACTGAGCAGGTGGGCACCATTTCAAACCCACTCCCCGTTCCTGATGAACCATAGCTTCTTCCTAGGAAAACTCGACGGAGGATGGGACACAACGCCCTGAAAACCAGACACAGACATTTGAGAATACCAAGCAAATGTAATAAAAGTTGGAACAGAACAGCAGGTTTGGAATGGCAAACTCTTTAAGTCAGGTTTGGAAACATCACCATTCTTTTTAGGGTTCTGGGTGGAACAATGATCTCTCCAAGAGCAAACTGACCAAGACGAGGGTCTACAATTCCTATTACTTCTCTGACCTTGGGGACACTGATATGGTTTTAGTTAGGGACGAACTGACTGATTCCCTGCATCCCAGTGTCTCCAGACGCTAACCAAGGACGGCAACGTTGACCCACGGGGTGGGGCAAGAAGGGGCCGCTCAGCCCTTAGAAGGAAGACAGAGCACAGTGACTGCCCATCTTTCCTCTCAAGTATGAAAAGCAAACTTGAAAAGAACGAACTATTAATATTTTCTATCCCCTCTGCGCAAGGAAGACTAAAAATCAGAGTTAGTTACAGAAGGAGTTATTTAGGTTACGTTGCAGTTGACTCCTTCTAAGCAGAAAGAATAGCTAAGGGCAGTTGTGCAATTTCCCTTTCTAGAGATTTGCAATAGGTTAGATACACACCTGACCTTGACCGCCTTGGGCTCCAGTGCATACAGACACAGAACGAAGAAAAAACAGCACGCACACTATAAACACCCTGCTGTGTGTCCTAGTCATTCTCCCCCAGATTTTAACAGATATTCAGAAACAGGTCACACTCTCCCCCTCCCCCTCCAGCTGAATCAACATCTCAACCCCATCAGTCTCTGCAGAAACGTAGAAAGTTGACCCAAAGTGGTTTACCTGTACTAGGAGTTCCAGCTTCCTGTCATCAAGAAGATGTACTTGACATCGACGGCCCTCCGTCATCTAAGGGGGAAGAGAAACAGGTGGTCGTGAGAGTCTAGCAGCCGGACGAGGCTTCCCGGGTCCCCTACGGTGGACTCCACCAGGCATGCTCCCCTGGGCAAAGCGTCCTCTGGGAGTTGGCATCATGCAATGCCAAGAAGTGGCAGGGCAGGTTCATTCATTCGTTTGGAAATATTTATTGAGCACTTGCTATGGGGCATGCACCGTCCTGGGAGCTGGGTGCACAGCAGCACCCAGGACAAAGTCACAGCCTGTCCTCATGGAGCTCACATTCCAATGGGGGAGACATAAAATAAATCAGCAAATACATATATCACATGCGATCCGGTGGCGCTAAGCGTTACTCATTCCTTACTCGTCCGTCCATTCAGTAATTGTAGCACCATGCGTTAGGGACAGCTCAGGATCCCCTCTCTTCCCCCTCTTCCCTCAAGCTGATCACCTGCAAGCAGGTGACCACCCATCTGGCATTGACTTTATTTCTGTGTTAATCACCCCCCGTCCTCCGGTCTGACCCCATTCCCCACAACGCCGCCACCGATAACAGAAGAGCCCTGGAGACAAGCGCCCGCAACTAAACCTGACCCAAGTTCCTTGTGCCTTTCCGGATTGATGTCTCTGAGCGGTGTCACCGAAAGACAGGCACCTGGGACAGGCACCCGGAGTCCCAAGTCTCGTCTTGGCCCTGCCAGTAACAGCAGCTGCAGGACTTTGGACAAGTCTCTCTTGGTCTCTGTGCCCCAGTCTCATATGCAAATATGAATGGGCCAGGCCCAGCGGGCTGCTGGTGGGAGTTTAACAACTGGCTTTCTGGAAGGAAAAAGCCTGCTTTGTGGCATTTGCTGAGCCCTGGCTTGTCCCCCAAAGGAAACCCTTTGAAGAACAAGGCTTCTCAGAGACAGCAGCTGGCGACCACTCTAACCATAAAGTGTCTTGCAGAAATCACAACATCTGATTGCAAGCTACTGTCATGACAACACTGATGGTCTTTCCAACATACAGATACAACAGGCACAAATAACCTTCACAGCATAGAGAATGGTAAAGTGTAGTAAAATAATCAGGAAGGGATGGATTTTGGGTATTCATTACCTTTGTTTTTAAAATACAATGTATTTAAGTATAAGTTCATTAATTTAAGTTTAATGATGGCGCTGTATTACAACTGGCTCCACGAATTCCTGCAAATGTAGCAATTGGCTCTCCTAAGCTGGTGTCGACCGGTTTCTGCACCGGATGAGCCGTAAGGTCCCTTCCAGCCCTTCTATTTTACATGACTCCGTAGATCCCACTAAAGACACCTTTTCCCCAGCTATGGGTCACTTCGAACAGATCAAAAGAAAAGTTGCACATGAGCAGACCCTGGCCTTGTCCCCTTGCCCGGCCATCAGAGTTCTCACGAGTGCCCCCTCCAAGAAAGATGGAAAAGAGCCTCTTCTCTTCTTGTTCACCAGGGATTGCAGTCTTTGACCATCAGCATGTTTAACCACTTCGGTAGGGCGCTCACCGGCTGCGAAACCTCGCCCACAGCCGGCACTCATAGTTTGCACGATAGTCTGTGCTGTGCATTGACGATGAATCCGTTTTGCTCTTGTGTGATGAGGAAAGCTTTAAAGCACTGAAAGCTTGTTTTACTTTACAGGCAGCTTTACTTGTAATGTAAATCAGAATAGGTGACATATATGTTTTCATTACGTTATTTTTAAATGTTCACAATTTTAAGTTGATAAATGAAAAATTAGAAAAGTCGTATCACGGCTGTCGGCTATAGTCGACGCTCCTACCAAAGTGGTTAAAGCTGTCATTAGAAACCTATGAGAAAATTCCCTTATTCCTTCCTCAAAGGAAACCACCCTATCACACTTTGATCAAGTCAGATTTCTCTTGTTTTGGGCTCTAAATCAAAACAGCATGTCCTGCTTGCATGGAGTAAATCTCAACCATCTCTTAATTCTCAATTATGGTAATGACTCAGCAATCCCCAGCTCTAAGAAAAGTTAGCAAGAAAAGTTTCGCATCTTCTTAAGCATTCTAACAAAGCAATTAAAAGGGGAAAATGGCTTGCCATTTTGCACACACAAGCCAAAACAGGCAGCTATGGCTACCAGACAGCTGTATGCAAAGTCCTTACTCACTCATTGCACTTGTAACTTCAGGTGTTAATTGCCTTCAGGCTCAAGTCCTATTAGAATCTATCAACCTGGCAAGCAGTAAGCATCCGCACTGATTGACTTAATTTTAAAAAATCTATCAAATTCTCTCCTTCAATCATTCCCCTATCTTCATTCGATGAAACCACTTCAATTTTAAATGAGACTAAAAAATATCTGCTGCTATGCCACCATATATTAAATGATTCTCATCAAAAAAGGACACCAAAATGTTAATTTCAATGTTCAATAGGGCAGTTAACAGCAATTGCAAGGTGCTTTGGATATAATGTTAGAGCTTACAGCGGAGTCAGTTCTCATTAGAAAGAAGCTAAGGTTAAAGAGGAAAGTTCTAAGAAGGAATATGGACAACCACTCCAACTATTATTTGAAATTCTCTTAAAAACATTTATCATAAGTTGGAGAATATTCTCTGAAATTGGGAATGGCAGATTTCAAGAAAAATCTTGCTTGATCTTTGCACCTTTAAACACCAAGTTGAGCTTTATTGCTTGTCAAAGGTTAAGGGCATATAATGTGCTAATTCAGTACTTATTCACATTCTTATTTTATGCAACAAATTGGTATCTGGAAGACATTACCGGATCAAATAAAGTTTTAATCGCAGTAGTAAAGAAGAGGTAGCCGCCATTATTCATTTTCTCAAAATATTTCAAAGCATGCAAATTTCACACCCATACTTAGAAGTTTACCCCGAGGTTCTCATCTTCATCTGAGAAACAAAAAAATGACTTCTCCTTACATTAAATGATCTCACCGCAAGGTAAGGAAGTAACTATGATCAAGACGTTAGTATCTGCCCAAGGTCTTCCAAGTTCTCTCTTCAACAAAGCCTCAACGCTAATTCCTGGGGAAAATGCAAGCACGTTACACATTTTCATGCCTCCCTCGTAGAAAGCACAATGTCCCCGCCAAACGTGAGCAGGGAGAGATGAGCCTAAACAGACGCTCACCTTTGAATCCTCATGTTTTTGAAGGCACAACTTTCTTTTGACAGCACTGCTACGGTTTACTTCCCAAAAGGGACACCTGTGTGTTGTTCACTACTCAAGGAGGATCGGAGTCTCCTGTTCTTATCCCCAGTTCCGAAAAGGCGCCGCCCCATTTTGGGTGTGTACAGAAAGAGGGTTGACATCTGTAGCTTTTATTCTTTTTTTTCTTTTTCTTTGGAGCTCTGGTATCACCCTCAAAGGAAATCCTTTGGAGAACAAGGTTTCTCAGAGGTGTCAGCTGGTGACCATTCCAACCATAAATCGTCCTGCTGCGGTACGATTCTATACCAAGCAGAGGGCTGCCAGGTCACTGTGATTCTAAAGGGTGTGTGCAAAAGTGAGGTGTCCACCCCAATTTATCCAACTTGGCTGTTGAGAAACTCTCTGGGCCGGGCGTGGTGGCTCACGCCTGTAAACCTGGCACTCTGGGGGGCCCCGAGGCGGGCGGATTGCTCGAGGTCAGGAGTTTGAGACCAGCCTGAGAAAGAGCGAGACCCCGTCTCTACTAAAAATAGAAAGAAAAAAATTAGCCGGGCATGGTGGCGCATGCCTGTAGTCCCAGCTACTTAGGAGGCTGAGGCAGGAGGATCGCTGGAGCCCAGGAGTTTGAGGTTGCTGTGAGCTAGGCTGACGCCACGGCACTCACTCTAGCCTGGGCAACAAAGTGAGACTCTGTCTCAAAAAAAAAAAAAAAAGAAAGAAACGAAACTCTGAATCACGAAGACTATGTGTAAACATGGAAACATTTATGATACTAGCTTAAGAGTGTGTAGCAGGCTATGGAATATGTGTGCTAATTATCATGCATATGGGCAAAGATTAAGAGGCAAAAATAAAAACACAGTAGTTGATTTGATTTGCTAGGGTATTAGGCTTAAGGGAGGTTCATCCCACCCAAATATTACTTAACATGTTGTTCCTTTTTTTCTTAGTTAAAAAAGTGTGAAAAAGAAACTGCATCTAGAAAGATGAATGATACTGTTTGAGGTGAGCTATAGAAAATGGAGACCCACAAACTTCTTTCCCAGCAAATTTGCTTACATTGCCTATATTTTAAACATATAAAATGAGATCTTTTAATACACAAATGAGAATTTGAGTTGTCACATAAGAGACTGAATACTTGAGACTGAATGACTGACACATTCTCACCCTGCAGAATGAATGGGAAGCCAGTTGTGACCAGAAGTGATTCCCAGAGTACAGATTCTGGAAAGGGAGAGGGTTATAAATATCTATGTTTGAGGCCACACGTCTACAGCTGCCTGACATATTTACGATGGTGGAGAGAACTGTTGTTCAAATATGGCAGGGGAGTCCCCTCTTCCAGGCATTACAAAAAACAACGTAACTAGCCATGACAAACCCCCAAATGGCCATTTCAGGAGAGGTGCAGGGTACTGAGCTCAGGGTGTGAATTTACTTTTTCTGGCTTAGGCTTAGATTGGAAACAGTCATAGGATGGCAACCTTCAAACCATTCTGCTGCCCACACCTCGAAGGGGTAGAGAAAAAGTAGAATTCAAGGTTTGGCACACTTTCTCTTAAAGACAGCACAAATATTTTGAGTTGAGAAAACACCAAATATGTTTTGTTAAGAATATTTTCCCTTCATATTCAAATGCAAGTCCTATGCTGCTTCTTACCTATTTCTCAACATACTACAATTCTTTTTCTCTCTGTCCTTTTGCTTTGGACACTTCTTAGATGTCTTCTCTCCCCCTTTTCTTGTCTTTTGCCAAATTATTTATATATCATGGTATATACATGTGCAAGAAGAACTCAGAAAAAATAATCCGAGTTCCACCACTGTTTATAATATTTTTTCTTTTCTTTTT